GCCTTCGCCACCCGAGCCGCCGGCCCCGGGGTTGCTCCCTGCGCTGTGCTGCGCCCCAGCGGCGGCAGCGGTTGCCGCCGTACACACACGGCCTCCACTACCAAGACCCAGGCCGCGTGCATCCCCTGCAGCACACCGACCATGGCCATGGCCGTTGGCAGCAGTGGCGTTGACAGCCGCACCGGCACCGCCGCCGCCTGCGTGGGCCCCGCTGCCGCCGCCACCGCCGCAGCGCGCCACTGACGCTGCTGCGCAGGGCACGGCCAGGCTCCTACCGCCGCCCATGTCACCACCGCCGCTGCCGCCGCCCGCACTGGCGCCGCCAGCGCTGCGAGCTCCCGCTGACAAACCGTTTTGATGTGCGGACTCATGCCCGGATTCGGATAAGTGACGCGAGGACGTGTCGAGGGCCTGAGTAGAGTGGGCTGCTGCTGCGGCTACATCAGCGGCGCCCATCGGAGAGTCCCTGCTGTCGCCGCCAGGGCTCCCACCACCGCCGCCACCACCAGCAACACCCTTCTCGCCCCCACCGCCAAGAGCGGCAGCAGGCATCGCGCCTCCGGCACCATCAACGGGCGACGCCGCTTGGGCTACGGCACCCGCGGCCACAGCCGCTGCCGCTGCAGCCTGGTTTATGGCCATCTGTGCACTCACAAGCTCTAGCGGAACCATGACCGGCACGTACAATTGCATGGCGGGTCGGGGACCTCCAGCTCCGAAACCAGGCGGCGGCCCGGCGGCGGCGGCGGCGACGCCGCCATCTACGACAGTCCCATTCCCACCACCGCATGCGGAGGTGGCGGTGGCTGTCGCGACAGGCTCTGCAGCAACCTGCAAGCCATGCAGCGCTGCCGCTGCGGCGGCGTCAATGGCGGCCGATCCGCCAGCAGGCGCATTGGTGGCCGCGGCGGGTGCGCCACCTGCCCCCTCGCTCTGACCATGCCCCCGCCCCGGGAACAACAGCGCTTGCGGCTGTTGCTGCTGCTGCTGTTGCTGGCTTTGCGGATCTCCAGTATGCTCTTGTGCTTGGCGATGGTGGTAGTGATGGTGATACTGCGGCGGCGGCAGCACCTGTAGGCCACTGCTTGCATGCGCCGCCGCCGCCGCCGCCGCCGCCGCAGCAGCGGCCATGGAGCGCTGGTGCGGGTGCGCTTGGGGGTGCTGGACTCCGGATCCAACATGGGACGAGCCTTGGGTGTGCTGCTGCTGCGGCAGCGGCTGCTGCTGCTCAGACTTTCCCCGCCCTAGCCCGGATGGTGTCGCCATGATTGCTCCTCCTTGATCGTCTGCGAGTCCGCCGGCGCCGGCGCCGCCTGCCGCCGCCGCTGCGGCCGCGGCCGCAGTCATGGACGCGCTCATGAGCAATCCCTGGAGCCCGTGCATATCCGCCAGTGCAAACGGGTGGACCCCATGCTGCCCTCCGCCGTACACCGGCCCCAGCAATGCGCCCGACATACTGTACGACGACCTGCCGCGGCGGGTCCTGGCGTGGCGGCTCACGACACCGTCCGGTGAGGAGGGAAGTGCGGCCGCTTGCTGGCCATGGGTCCCAAGGCCTGCAGGAGCAGTGATGCCCGCGCCTGCCCCTGTGTCACTGCCGTGACCAGCGCCGTGCACGTCGCCGTCGCCGTCGTCCTGCATTCCGGCCCCAGCTGGGCCGCTAACCCACGGAGCTGAAGCTGGGGCCGGGCCAACTTGGTGGAGGAGAGCCTGCTGCTGCTGCTGTGGTGGTGGTGGCGGCGACAGCAGCTGATTATGGCCTGGCTGCGTCGGGGACGCTGGTTCGGCCGCTTGCAGTACCGCCGCCGCCGCCGCCAGGGGCGGCTGTGAGAGCTCTCCAGCAACACTTTCCGCCTGTTCAGACGGTTGCCATAGCAGCCCCCCGCCAGGTGCTGCGGCGCCGCCCAAGCCCGGCCCCGTGCCAGCCGAAGCGGCTGCCGCCGCCGCCGCCGCAGCTGCTGCTTGCTGCTGCATGTGGCTTGCTGCATGGAGCTGTAGCTGGCCAAGCGCCGCGAGGTTGAATGGAGAGGCGGCCAGCAGGGAGTGGGGGAGGGGCGGTGGCCTGTGGCCAGTGGCGGCGATACTTGTCGCGCCGCGGCCCAAGCCCTGCACAAGCCCCCAGCCGCCGACCAGCCCGTTGCCCAGCAATGCAGCTGCAGCGGCGGCGGCGGCCGTTGCGGGGTACATGCCTTCTGCCACCGAGCCGCCTCCGCCAACGGTACTTGCCCACTGCATGCAGCATGAAAATTGGCATCGAAATCCGACATCGCTGAATGCTTCCCTCCATCACGTCATCTTGCGCGTTGGACGCGCATTGCACATGGGGCTTGGCAGCTGACAGCACTTTGCAAGGATTTGCAAGTACACACACACACACACACACAGACACACACACACACAGACACACACACTCAGACACACACACATGCCGGCGCCCCTTTCCTGCCTAGGCTGCTTGCAAAAAGGCGGCTGCCAATCCAGAAGGGTTGGAAAACGAAATGGCATACATCCAGGCATTGGTAACCGCAGATAGTCATGTCTCTCGCCGAGCGGGCACGCCATCCCTGCTTTTCGCACAACTTCCTGTTCTCCGGCCCTCCCCCCCCCCCGCATGCCTTCTTTACTTCTGGCGCATCAGTCTTTCCTTGCCATCAGCTTCACTCGCTCGTGGTTCGTCGTTCCCCCCGCACGCACCAGATGGACAAGAAGGGAGGGCCCCCTCACTTCCTACCACCACCACCACCACCATCACCACCACCACCACCATCACCACCACCACTATCACCACCACCACCACCACTATCACCACCACCACCACCACCACTATCACCACCACCACCACCACCACCACACACGCGCCATAATTGTCAGAGCCAATTCTCAAAGCTACCGAACAGACGTGACATCCTTTGAACTGACTCCTTTTCCATTCATTTCGCTCAGGTTGCTCAGGTCCCAAAAAATGATTACCTTGTCTCTCATCGGTACCGTACCTGAAGGCTATGCTGGTGGGCTTTCCGCGGGGAGGGTGGTCCGGGGGCTCTTCCGGGCGCCTGGATCTGTCCATACACCGACGCCGGCGTCGCGCCGCGTATGTTTGACCGCGTTGGGTGACCTCGTATGCCGTGACCCACAACCGCGCCTTCCTGCTCTGCCTCACTACGCCCGGCGTGACCATGACAGTGGCCGTGGCCTTCTCCTCGTGTTTCCGCGGCCTGGGAGGTGATGCTGTGGGGTCGCTGTACCTCCGGCGAAGACGCGTAATGTTCGGCTGTTGGTCCTGCGCCGCGACCATAAGGCGTCTGGTCTGCTGCCGCCGGCGCTGCGTGGCGCTGCTGCTGTTGCTGCTGCTGGAGTTGCTGGTGATGGTGTGCGTGTTGCTGTTGTTGCTGTACTTGCTGTTGCAGAAACGCTTGCTGGTGGGTTTGCAGTTGATGCTGCTTATTATTAGGGTAATGTTGCTGTGGCGGCGGCGGCAGCTTGCTGCTGTTGTTTACGTTACGGATTGCAGGATGGACCGCCGTGGAAATGAGGCTATTGGCGGGCCGGGAGCCCTGCTGAGGACGGTTTGACCGGACAGGACCTGTGTAAAAAGGAAGGAAGCGTGCTGGCTGAATAAAAGACGAGATAACGGGCGGGCTTACGATTTTTCTCGGTGTGTCGCGATCAGGTTGGCGCAAATTGTTCAGCTTGGAACAACACGTCGTAAAACCCAAATCCCGCGCATAGGCTTACCGTCAGGCTCCGCGGCTGACAGCGCGCTGTCCTCGTCAACGGATCGTTCCGGCTGAACCGCCGATCCCGCAGCACGTGCACCTTCGAATGATACCGCCGTTGACACTTGGCTCCGGGCTGCGCGCTGTGGAGCAGAACGGCAAAGACAGCACGTCGGCAAAGCAGCTAATTGCCCTGGCAACTTAATTCCACGACATAATGATTAAGGATACAGGTTTTCTTCGGGAAACATCCTACCGGACTGGGAGGCTCTCCTGTGCTGCCCGCTGCCGGCTCCGACGCCTGGCCCTCCGACTCTTGCTGGGAAACAGTAACGCTGGTGACAGCATTCGATAGGGCTGTGTCTGCTCCTGAGGCTTGCCGTCGTGTCGGATTCGCAAGCGCAGAGCGCTCCATTGCCTAAAGTCAACACGCCGGCCTTGGAGAGTCTTACAGCTTCCCGAAAATCCATAATGCCAAACAGATTGTAAACATTTTCAGGCACTGCGTCGCGGGATCATATCAGGAGCGCGCCTTCCTACTTCCGACCGCAATCGTTCGCTACCTGCGCTAGGCTCTGCACCAAGAAGGGCTGGTTAATCATGTTTGTGAGCATAAGCAGCCACGGATGAGCGACCACGGCCGCGCTATACGTTTTTTACGCCTGCGCGCCTATGGTAACTTCAGCATCGCGTTGGCATCCGCCACCGTACATTGGATAGCTAGGATCTAAGGGACAAAAGCATACAACTGAAAACAACGGTAATTGCACACCAATTGCAAGTTTGTACAATTCTCGTCATCAGAATATGATACGCCGTACGTAGTACAATATATCACAAATTCAACCTCAAACTGCAGCTTATACTTTTTCTCATGATTCGATTATATACTGTGCTGTTGGGGGCCCTGGAAAGCAGAAATCCAATTCACTAGGACAGCCATGACATTATCAGCTGCGTACTTTTCTCGGAGCGAAAATATATGTGAAGCAGGTAATGATGGTCTGCACAGTGAAGCTGTAGAAGGAACCTAAATGTTCAGGACCGGTACTGTGAACGCCTTCTCTTACGTAAATCCGCTCATCACAACGCCGTATACCGCTTTAACCATTGACACGGCGTCACATCTTAGGAGTTCGCAGTTTGCATGTGTAAGGTAGGAAAGAACCTGTTCGGTCGGTTCCAGCCCTGACAGGCTGGATGGTTTAAATAGGAATCACCGTGATGCGAGCGTCATCCGCTTGCATTGAAATGGGAATGGAATATACTCCACGGCGAGGTGAACTGTGTTCCTTCTTACCCGACCGGAAACATGAACAGCGGCCGATGATGTCTCGTCCAAAACACACAAACCAGCATTACGAAACACACACACACACACACACGAGACGCAACTGTCAATGTCGCTTACCAGCACTGTCCAGTAAAAAGCCACTTAACTACCGCGCAGCCCCTGCAGATCTTGCAACGGTGCTCATGTAACGGGTCAGGTCGGTGTGTATCAAGCCTCTGATCAAACAAAACACCCTTCATCCTCGTTCGCGGTAAGAAAATCCTTCACTCCAGTCAAACCGTGGTCAACCTTTAGCTAATGCAAAACTGACAGGTAACTATTCTGCCGGAGATGCTGCTGCTGATGATGATGATGAAACAGTCCATGCGCCAAGCGACGTCGTCATTACCCGCTTTAACTGGCCCGGCACACGGTCACACACCACCATCGCATGCCCGTAAATGAGGCGATTCTCCCGGTTCTTCATCATCGTCGTTTTCTTCAATTCTCCCGGTTCCAGCAGGTTTCATCGTCCCGAAACCCTAAAGCCCTAAACCCCTTTTCACAGCCGTGAGCACATCCACATCTCCCCCGGGCGGGAGGGAGGCCCCGGGCGGGAATTAATTTTTTTCCCGACTGCCCGAGCCGCGACCCACAGGCTTGCCTTTGCCCGGACGACCGCCTAACCTCCTCTTTCCATCACGGCCTCAGTGTCTTACGACTTCCCCTTGAGTCACGACCATTATTGCCGTAACCCTGTTCCCACACGGCACAGCTGCGAACCTGATGCCCTGGCCTTCGCGCGGCCTCTTGTCATGTCGTGTCGTGTTGTGTCTTGTCTTGACTGAGTAAATTCAAAAACATCAACAGCAAACCTGGATGCCCAGGGCTGGCTGGACATTGATGCTTTGGGGCCCTCTGGCATCGTATACCTCCCAGCGGCCCGTTTTCGTCTCGTGCCAATACTACCTACACTCTCCCCCCCCGCTTCAACCTCCTCCGCATTGATTGTGATGTTGACCTGCCGTGGCACATTACAAGAACACACACGTACGCACACACGCATACATACGCACACACACATACACACGGGTGCGGTCCCGGGTGAAGATATGTCCCCCCTGTCCCACACATCATACACACACGGGAATCTGCATGGCAGTCATCCTGCACGCACCCCAACACCCATAGCCGTCGACACCCCAGTCTTCTTGGTGTGCCTATGCTGCTGCTTGTCGCTGCTTGCCACTGCTTGCTGTTTGCTGTGCTAATGACGGTGATGATGATGACAATGTACACCTGTATGATGTAAGTAAAAACTTACGCCGTTCAACACGCCTCCGCTTGGCCCACACACCAATCCTGCTTCACTGCCGTGCCCATAACACCAACCAACCAACCAACCAACTAACCAACCAACCAATCGCGGCAGCCTCAGCGCCAGCCAACCCGCCACATTCCATCCCTCCACATAAATCCTCCCAACTTGCCAAACCCACGCCGCGATACACCACATATCAGAAGAACCGTGTGCCAGACCGGGACAGCATCAGCTACACGGTGGGTTGGTCGACCACTGCGCCCCTTCAGCTGGCTGCGTCGGCTGACTGCGGGACTGGCAGCTTTCGGTGCAGCAGTCACTCACCGGTTTACGCAGCTGGGGACAAGTGCGGCCTGACTGACGTAGCTCGTAGCGCCGCGGCACACACCTAAGGATAAGGTCACCCCCGTCGACCCCTAGGAACCCCTAGGACCCCCCCTAAGACCCCCTAGGATCCCTAGGACTTGCGCAGGTTATCAAGTCGCGCTTGCAGATCTTCATCAAGCCCCGCCCCGCCCTCCGCCTCCGCCACGGCCGGTGCGGCCTGAGGCTTCTCGGCAATGCGTGTCCCCGGCGCCGCCGCCAACTGACGCAAAAAGGGGAGAGAGAAAGAGTGTGTGTGTGTGTGTGAGTGAGAGAGAGAGAAAGGAATGAGAGAGGGGGAAATCACATGCGGCACGAGGGGAAGAGAGAGAGAGAGAGGGGAGTGAGAGGGGGGAAATCACATGCGGCACGAGGGGAAGAGAGAGAGAGAGGGGAGTGAGAGGGAGGAAATCACATGCGGCACGAGGGGAAGAGAGAGAGAGAGGGGAGTGAGAGGGGGGAAATCACATGCGGCACGAGGGGAAGAGAGAGAGAGAGAGGGGAGTGAGAGGGGGGAAATCACATGCGGCACGAGGGGAAGAGAGAGAGAGAGAGAGGGGAGTGAGAGGGGGGAAATCACATGCGGCACGAGGGGAAGAGAGAGAGAGAGAGGGGAGTGAGAGGGGGGAAATCACATGCGGCACGAGGGGAAGAGAGAGAGAGAGAGAGGGGAGTGAGAGGGGGGAAATCACATGCGGCACGAGGGGAAGAGAGAGAGAGGGGGGGGAGTGAGAGGGGGGGAAATCACATGCGGCACGAGGGGGGAGAGAGAGAGAGAGAGAGAGAGGGGAGTGAGAGGGAGGAAATCACATGCGGCACGAGGGGAAGAGAGAGAGAGAGAGAGGGGAGTGAGAGGGAGGAAATCACATGCGGCAAATAGCATGCAGCAAAAATCCAAAACATTAGGAGGGAAATGGTGCCTCTGGGGCTCTTGGGGGAGACCGACAAGGGGAGACAATGTTGAACATAGCTGCGGAGGAGTTGTGAAGGAGTTATGTTCGCGTAGATTAACCGCTCGAGCGAGTGGATGCGGTTTTGCCAAATTGCCACACAGCAAACAGCAGCAACGTTCATCGCCTCCAAAACGGTTTTGTTTTTTTCGCCTTGACGCACCTCAGTCATGTTGCTGATGCCGATCTCGTCAAGGACCTGATTAACAAGGTTGTCCGTCTCCTCCTCCTCGCCTTCGTCCTGTACGGCATGACGTAGTACGGCACCGCACGGCACACGAGGGCGAGGCCACACAGCATAGTTCAGTACTACTGCACACGGGGTGATTGGGCTCTAAAAATAGATGATCGACGTGGCCGTGTGGCGTTTGCAACAATGCCGCACCCATTTCTTATAGGCATTATCTCCAGGCGCCAAGACATACAAGACATTACACAGTCCAAAAGCGTCACCATAACCCCAGGCTGATCCACTACCCCACTCCGGAGGCATGCAGCAAAGAACGAGCCTACAAACCCAAACCGATCAACGCAAGTTCAACAAAGCTTCCAAAATCGCAGCCGCTGCAGCAACAGCCGCTGCAGCAACAGCCGCTGCAGCAACAGCCGCTGCAGCAACAGCCGCTGCAGCAACAGCCGCTGCAGCAACAGCCGCCGCAGCAGGCAGATAACACCCGGTAGATCTAGATAGAGGAGCGCAACAAATCTGGAAACTGCCCCCCCCTCCCCCTCCCTCTTCCCCTCCCCATCCTACCTGGAGCGCATCGTCCACCGCATCCCCCATCATTTCACTGGTCATCTCCATGCGCTCGTTCTGTCGCTCGAACTCCCGCATGATGGTTTGTAGGTTGGGCAGGTTGAGGCGCCGGTTCATGGCGCGCATGGCCTGCAGGGGCATGATGTGGGGCAGCGGCGGCAGAGAGACACACAGAAACACACACAGCGCCACAAAGACACACACATACATACACACACAGGGGCACGGAAATAAAGTTGCATTCGCGTGCCATTTCCCTCCCCCCGTCAGTTTCCCCCGGCAGTTGGCCCCGCGGCTCATTGTAGTTCATTGACAACACGCAGATCTGGGTGCCCTGCCCTCCTCCATGACTGAAGAGGGCATCAGGCGGTAAATCGTGGCTTCGTCGCGCCCTCGTTCCTTCGGTTGGGGTTCTATACATACATACATACATACATACATACATACATACATACATACATACATACATACATACATACATACAAACAAACATACATACATACATACAAACATACATACATACACACACACCGCTCCCCCCTGTCCCTGTCCCTAATGGTCCCAGCCCAGCTTGTGCTGCTCCGCTCCGGCCGCCGCCTCCCCCCTTACAGAGCCTTTCTTGGTGGCCTATACCCACGACCGCCAACTCCGGCTCGCCAACTCGCCTCTTAATGAGCTAAGCCAGGCAACCCCGGCCGGCTCGCGCCACATTAGCGGCAACTATGAACTGCCGCGGGGTTCCCCCTCGGGCTTTGTTGTGACGACTTTGTGACCCCCTAAATTGAGAACATGTCACAGGTAACGGGCTACATGTACACGGAGGCGAGCCTTGGCGGACCATCCTTAGTCTTGGCCAGCTAATGGGTGGAGCCAGGTTCGTGGGTCAACCCCAGGAAGGGTGACCTGACCCCTGCGCGGATGGCAAGAAAGACGTACCTTGGTCGCCCCACGCATCGCATCCGCCATCGCCTGGGTGGACTTCAGGGTCTGCGTGCGAGGAAAGGGGGAGGGGGAAAGACGAACCACAAACGAGTGAAGCTGCTGCCAGGGCAAGAGTGTACCAGACGTAGAAAAGGGGGGAGGGGGGAGAGGATGCGTGGAGTTTGCGGAGAAGAAGGGAGGGGGAAGCGAAAGGGAGGCCATGGGAGGAAGATCCCATGAGGGACCGGAAGACGACCGTCGTCATTCGGGAGGGGAAGGGAACTTCAATTTGGAGAGACTATAGACCATGATGACAAAGAGGCCATAGACCATAATAAAAAAGACGCCATAGAAGCCATAAGAAAAGTCGATAACGAGAAAGGGAAGCGGGGGGGGAGGGGGGTAAGACGAACCCCGACTGACGACTGAAGTACGTACTGAAGAGGTAAACGGATAGCTGTAGGATAAGACAAGGACCCGTGGGTGAGGGCGGGGGAGGGCCGGGGAGGGACCCAGAGACAACATCCGAGCAAGGCGTGTGGGGGGAGGTGGTGCCCAGCAGGTGGCGCTGTGAAGAGGGTTCCATTCGACCCGAGAGATCCCCACAGGTAGTTACACCACGGCTCTTCATGGAGGATGGAGAGAGGCCACCGTGCCACCTGAATTTGTTCCTATTCCCTAAAAAATTTCCAAATGCTGGTTCATCTTACTGCTCCGGCTGTTACTGGCCCCGATTTTCTGGTGCTCTTGCTGTTGATGCGTTAGCTGGTGGCTTTTGCCATCTTACCGCTAGTCGCAGCGATACCGCTTGCAGCTCCGATTTGAGACCGTACATCTTGGTCACCGCGTGGCGGTTTCGAACCAGGGACTTCGCCATCACTTTGACCGCGTCCTGATGAGGTGAGGGAGTGGGCAGGGCGGCGGGGCAGGCAGGGAAGGTGAGGAGGGCAACGTTGGGTTGAGGACCAACTCCAGGTTGGGGGACATGGGCTGGACACGGAGGCCTGCTGGGGGCTGGTGGTCGGGCAAAGCTTGACATTACATCGCGTCCTATATATGTGGCATGACGTTGAAATTGAAACCACACGTCTTTGCATTGCGCCATTGCAGGAGAGGCAGTTTGTGAGTATGGGTAGCGCGTTTTTGGCTGAGCGTGCTGAGGCGAGGGGTTACAAAAACAGTCCCCGTCCCGTTGCGTGCGCGGCAGCTTTTGACGCGTTGACCTTAGCCTCAATCCACCATTCCTGCTGCGTCACGCGGGTGCTGGAAAGGCAAATGCGGCATGCATCCCGTACACGGTCGTACATAGAAGTAAGCCCCATCGGGCCGGTGTACTCCTCGTACCCAGGGCTTACCATCTGCCCTTCTTTGGCCATTTTTTTAATCTCCATGATAGTTTTCTTTTCCTGCTGTTGTAAGCCCATTCGCTCGCGGTCGAGCTCCCGGATGGCTTTATCAAGCTGCCGCTTGTTCTCCCTAAGCATCTCTACGACGCAAAAAAATTGAATGTTGAGAGGTCAGCAGGCGAGAGCGTAACCTTCTTTAAAGCAGCACAAGGAAGCCACGTTCCGCTAGCTCTCTTGCGACAGCTACCTGCGGGGGTCTTCTTTTTTCCAAACAATGCTTCCAACATCTTTCCAGTCGTGTAAGTAGCTTAATGAACTGCTAGACTGCGAGCGGTTAGGGAGGGCGTTTGGATTTTTAGTGCTAAGCCTCGAGTTCGTTGCACCAACTAAATAAAGTTTCAGCAGCTTGACATAAAAATATGTGGGTCCTTCTATTTGATCCTGATTGCGCTGGCGAGATTTTTAGCTATATGCTCCCGAGGTGTTGTACAGACCGTTGCCGTGACTTCAGAGGAATGTGGAGGGAGACGGGCTGCATCCTTGCAGCTCAATTTGTGAACCAAACGGTTGCCAATGCTTGCCCTCATGTATGAAGTCCTAGTACAGATGTAGAGATTAAAGTCAAGCTTGGAAGGACGCATTAATCAACCGCCGTGCAGACCATGGCCCATCACCCAATTTACATGGAAGCCTTCAAACCCCACATTGTTAGCCTTTCCAGGAAGCAAACTGGTAGCTATGTGTGTCGCCTTGTCGGCGGCGCGATGGACCGGGCTGGAAGATTGGTGCGTCATTTTCAACGCGAGCTTATTAAGCACAGAAAGGATGAAAAGTTATAACTGATATTAATTACAACTAGGCGCTCCTCGATGAATAACTTGGGGAGCGTGGGCTTGCAGGGTGTCGTCGTACACAGCGCTGCACCTGCACGTCCAACATGGATGACGGTGAAGCCCGCGGACAGTCGCGAATCGCCCTTTCGCGAACTAGATTTGATGGAGCTGTGGGATGGGGTAAGATTGGGCGAACCGTCCCATTTTCGTCCGCGGCAAAAGACCTGCCTGAGCAAGACTGCATCAGCCGCTGAGCAGGAGTCTGTGAAAAGTGCGCAGCGGGCCGGACCAGGCACCCTGTGATTTCCGGGTTTACAAGCCCTAACAACTTCTGCTGTACAGCGTTCGAAAGCTCCTTCAAGGAAGCAGGTCGCAAACGAAGTTCGTCTTGCCGTCTGGCTACGGCGTTTAGTCACACGCCGCCGCCGCAGACAGCAGACACGGCAGGAAGCTTCAAACAGTACAAACCCAACACCTCAATTACCGTCTTGAGAACTGATCTGGGTCACACAAGTCTTGGTCCCTCTACCTATCCAGATCTGGGCCAATTAGATTTCTCCCTCGTCCTCCCCCCCTCGAAAAAACATCTGACAGCCAAAATGATTCCGTGTGCGTGTACTGTTCGACTCTCCCTTCTTCGGATTCCTGCCCCCTCCCCCTGGAGGACAACAACAACTGAAACAACGGAAATGTGTGTGCGTGTGTCGTACAGATAGCGCAAGCAATCCGCGGGTTCCACGCCTTTGCGACCATTTGCGATCGGCATTTCTTTATTACGTGTAACCCCGAAACCCCGGAGGTCCTCACTTTGAGGGCCTCACCTTGAGGTTCTCTTTCCAAAGCAACAGCGGTTGCTTGGACGCCGATGTCGATGCAGATCGGCAAGACGCGCGTACGGCAACACGTAAACCCCCTACGTCGTGAGTTTCAGCAACCGACGGCGGCACCCGACTGGAGTGCCGTATTCTCCGACCCCTCCTTACCCCTGGCGCTGGACATCGGCAGCGGCTACGGCCGTTTTCTGTTGCTGCTACAGCGCAATAACCCTGACCAACAAGTCAACTACCTGGGTCTGGAGATCCGCCGTACGGTGCGTGTGCTGTGGGGATCGCGCATACAATCGGAAAATATGGCCTCATACAGTACACAATGTCAATTTGCCATTTTCCCTTGCACTTCCCACACTCACACTTGCCTCCCCTCACTTTTCCCCTCCTATACACCGCCGTGACTATAATTATGCCGTGCCGCCTTATCGGCCGTGTTTGCCCCCATTTCATCTCTCCTATCAATGTCTTTACAATAGCCTCTTACCCCCTCTCCTGTTTATGTTTATCTTGGCAGTTTTTGTTATTGCTTTCTGCACTTTGCAGCTGAAGATATTTTCTCTTCCGCCCTTGTTTTTGCCCACACCGCCCACACCGCCACCACAGCTCGTGGACCGATCCAACGAGTGGGTCAGTCGACTCGGACTCCAAGGTCGAGTGCATTACCTGTTCAGCAACGCCACCGTCAGTCTGACGACACTGCTGGGCAGCTACCCCGGACCCATCACCGACGTGTTCATTCAGTTCCCTGACCCGTGGGTCACCTGTGTGGGGGCTGGGAGGAGGGTTAGGATGACCCGTGGGTCGCTTACTTGACTTGGGGCTCCTGTGACGCTGTGATGACAAGAGGGCAGTTCAAATGGGCTCCATGTTAGACCTTTCCACGAAGGGGGGAAGAGAGAGTTTGTGAGAGAGAGAGTGACAGAAATAGACGCTCGTTCGTGGCGTGCATGTGTCGCTGTGAGGCAGCCCCCACAGCTAATCTCAAGCCCAACTCCGCCTGACCTTCCCCTTCCCTGCCTTCCCCTCCCCCTCATCCCCCTCATCACTCTTTCCTTGGCAGCAGCTTCACTCGTTCGTGGTTCGTCTTTCCCCCCTCATCCCTCCCCAGACACTTCAAGCGGCGCCACCACAAGCGGCGGGTGGTTCAACCCCAGTTAGTGACCGCGCTCCGGGACTTGATGCCGCGGGGAGGTGGGAGCCAGGTTGGGGACTTGGGAGTGGGATGGGTGGGGTAGAGGGCGGGATGTTCTCCAGGACGGGAGGCAAGCCTCCCCACCGACCTTAGCAGGTCTGGATCTCAGGCCCCAACCCAGACCGCTCCACCCGCGGTCAGCGATGAGCGTGCAGGCTTTAATCCTTTTTCTTGCCCTCTGTTTTGCCCTCTTCGAGATTTCTTTTTCGCCTCCATTTCGCCTCTCCACCCGCTTCCTGCAACCCATCCCCTTAACCGCGAGCGCCGTCCCGGGTAATGGCTCTTGAGACACACCTGGTTTTGGGGCCCTGCTCTTCCCCCCAAACCCACCGTATGCATGTGCGCGCTGACACATCACCACGCCACCTCTTGCGGACCTCAGGTAGGCTGCTGCTGCAGTCCGATGTCGAGGAGGCATGTGTGGCCATGGTGAACATGTTTGAAAAGTACGCGGGGGAGGACTTCACGCTGGCTCCCCAACACAGCCAGTGTGCCGTGTTCTTCAGCCGACGCGGCACGGAACAACAACAACAACAACAACAGCAGCAGCAGCAGCTACAGGGCCAGGCAATCCGTGATGGCGGTGAAGCGACGAAGTCGACAACGGCCCCGGCGACCGTTCATCGGGCAGCAGCGACGCAAGCACGGGATGTCGACACCCACGGCTGCGCCGCCGCCGCTGCCGCCGCAGGGGACCAAACGGCGCCAGCGGCGGGAGTACGGCAAACTGAGGTGGGTGTCGTACTTGCGGATACGGACGACGGCGACATGGCCGCTGGAGAGGAAGGCAGCGTAAGCGGCGATGACGACATAATGGGGGTGGACGGCGATTCCGACGAAGAGGACATTCTCAATATGGTTTCGGAGTGGGCCAAGGGTGGCTGGCTTGTGGACAATCCCGTGGGTACACCCACGGAGAGAGAGCATTATGTGGCGCAACAGGGATTACCCGTGTATCGGGTGATGCTGACGAGGGTTTAGGACGTTGCGTGAGGATGTACAACATACACACGGCGGGTCACTTGTTGACCGTACCGGCCGTACAGTCACTTGTTGACCGTACCGGCCGTACAGTCACGGCAATATACACACATGCGCACACGCACATCGTGTTGCATGTATGTGTGTGCGTGTATATGTGCATGTATGTGTGCGTGTGTGTGTGTGTCTGTCGCCAGGCCACAACAAATGCCGGAAAAATATGATGTCGAGCTGTGTGGAGAAGGGTTGCTGTTTGCTGGGTTGGGTGGAGGAAAGGAATGCTTTAAGCCGGAAGCTTCCAGAGCTTCGGATGGATGGAATTTGGGGGAAATTTTGGAAACATGTAAATCCAGGTAATGCGGGAGAAGTTGCAGGAAGTGAAAAAACATTGACAAGTTGGTCGGTTGGAAGCAACTGGGAAGGGAAGGGAAAACAAAACACTGTACTTGTCGTACAGAAGTATGACCGTATCCGGCGCGTGTGGATGTACATCTTCTCGCTGCGGCATACCGACAAAAGGACTGTACGATGGTGGCGGGACGGGCCAGGTGAACGAATGGTTAATTAAACAAGTTCCAGGTTGGCAGGAGGGAGGGAGGGATGGGATGAGGGTGTGATCTAAGGAACCTGCTGCTGCTGCTGCTGCTGTGCTGCACAGATGTATACCGCGGGGTTGCTGGGGAACTCTCGTGATGGGGAACTCTTTCAGCACAGCCGCCCGATACACGGGCGATGGTACTCACCACAGCAGGAAAACCCTGTGCTAATCCTTAATACTTGTTGACGAGTGTGGGAAACCCTCTTGTTGTTCAGCAAAGTACCGAATGGTGACGCAGAGCAAAATGAAAACCAACCGGTCAAGGCCTTCACCCGCCATTCTGACATCACATCTACAAAACAAATCTCGCGTGGCTTGGTTTTTTTTCTGGGTCTCAATCGTCAAAACTTCCCGTTTTTGCCATGAAAAGGGCTTGCGGCTTCCCTTTCGGAAGGTAAGTATCGCGAAGTCCAATAAATAACAAAAATAAAATGGCGGCGACTTGAGATCTGAAATACTCCTCTGCTCTTCCAATGTAGGAACGTACAATATAAGCGAAATCCAAAATCCTGCTGCTTTTTCCACGGCCCTTTAACCAGCCAGGCTGATTGCCAAAACAAGACACACGTGCAGTTCCACCTGCTGCTCCATCTTAAACCCGTAAAGTTCATGTTCTCCAGCGCCGGGTCGTGGCTTCAACAACACACCATTCTCTCCCTCCCCCCCCCGCTGGGGCAGTGCGCCGCCAACTCGCCTCCGCACACAACGCGCTCAATCTGGTGGAACAAGCCCAACAAACAATCCGAGCCGAGGAAGAAACGAATCAGGAAAGGAGCTGAAGGGGAAACAGAAGGGACTCGGGGTGTACGGGTAGGAGGCAAGGCACAGAAAGCTTATAGCTCATACAAAGGCCACAAAGGACAAAAAAAGCTCAAAGCTCAAAGGATTAGTGTTTGCAGCAGCCACAGGCCAGCGTCCCAGAGCTCCAGCCCGCCCCACCAAGGCCCTCCTCCTTCCAACCCCCCTGTCCACTCCTCGCGCATGGGGCTGCGGGGCTGCCTCCTCCTCCTCCTCATGCCCCCTCACCCTTGTTCCCCTCACCCTCCCCATCTTACATGCCCCCCTTTTCCTCACCTCCCCTCTGAGGCCACTTCCTTACCTTACAGCGCAGCCAGCCAGGTCTCCAGCTCTGCAGCCGCTCGCTGCCACCGGGTGTCCTGATCAGGCAACACGCGAGGGCGAAAACGCAACAAAATAACAAAACGGGTTATTTAAAAAACGTTTTTTTCGCCACCAGCAGCACCAGCAGCTATAGCGGCATTTATAAGTATGCCCGGATAGCGTTTGGGAAACAGAAGGCAAGAAGTAAGGGCGAAACGCGGACGGACGGTGTCCTCAACAGGCAACCAGTAAACCCTAAAACCCATACATCGTCCTGTAGCCAGTCAGTTCGTATTATGCTGTGTGAGCTTTTACACCGTACAGAAAAAAATCGTCATACTTTTCAAAAATTCAACACGATACCAACATTTATCATTATGAGCATTATCATTATGCATCACCGCGGTACCTTCTCCTTATCGATGCGATTCAATAACGAACTCCACACACGCCACTTCCAAGTCCCCTCCGAAACCACCACCTCTTCCGTCTCCCCCCCCTCCAAAGCCCCAATCCTCCGCAGTTTCTCGGCAATGTTGGCGTGTTCTATCCCCTCCTCGCGCCTTCATTTCATACACACATATACATATACATACAGACACACGCACAGCCCGGCACCCACCAGCATGCAGTCGTGCGCTAGGTCCTGCAGCAGGACGCCCTGGGTACCGTAGTACGACGCCAGCTCCTTTATTCGTACGGGGTAAGGAAACCGTACCAAAACAGTCATACTCATGAATTGGAAAAAGGGACGCGGTCACACACAGGCCAGGGTTGTGTACGGGGAAGGGGTCGTACATCTTTTGGATAGTGTTGATGGCCTCTACGCAGACTGCGCCATGATGATGCGGATGTAGATAGGTAATGGTGTAGTAGTGGATAGCGCCTTCAAACTATAGTAGTATATTGGTTCATAATTGATGTGCATATATGTATATGTGTATACGTATTGGCTGTAGACATTCCCCACCATTTTCCTGACTGAAGGGCTTGCACGCACGCATATGCATGTATGCATGTATGTGTCAGCTTAAGCGCGTTTGCGCGTTTATGTCGTCGTGTGGGGGGGCAGTGCACAGTGCGCGGGGGCTGTGTGTGTGTGTGGGGGGGAGACGAACCACACACGATTGAAGCTGCTGCCAGAGCAAGAGAGTAGCAAAGTAGTGTGTGTGTGGGGGGGCCTTGCAGCAGGTCTCTATAACCCTCACTCCTCCCCGCGCCCAACCGCTTGCCTGTACGGCCTCAGGATCCACAACGGTGTCCTGCGCGGCTCCCAACACAAAGGCGGGGGGTGCGTGAGGGGACGGTGGTGGCAGCGGCACCTGCGCGTTCATGTCCCTGAACACGCGGCGGCAGTGACGGCGGCGGCGGCGGCGGCGGCAATGGCGGCAGGTTAAGAATCCGGCGGCGGCAGCTGAGGGCCGCCAGGAAGCTATTTCACTTCCGGAATCACCCCCGAGACCCGCATGTGGCACATGTACGACACAAAACACACAGATACACGCAGCGCCCCCCGGCGGGCGATGCCCACTCACCGTATGAGTATCGGCCCGGGCCCCCCCAAACATACATACATACATACACACATGTGAGAAGGTCGCCAAGCGGGATGTATGTCTAGCAGGCGAACGATGTGACCAAAATGACGAGGGGGGAAGGAAGGGGAGGGGAGAGGGAAACTGTATGCGGCGGGAAAGCGAGGAGGGATTCCGGCTGCTGACTGATGTCCAGAGTACACAGGGGCGCTTAGGGGGGAGGTACGGGGGCAAAGACGAACCACAAACGAGTGAAGCTGCTGCCAGGGCAAGAGTGTACCAGGAGGTACGGGGGGGNGGGGGGAGGGGAGGGGGGTATTCAGCAGATGCACGCACCTGAGGTCGAGGAGGCGAGTGGGGCTGGCTGCCGCGAGGAACTTCTGGTACCTGCGACACGTGCATGCGGGGTGCCGTTAGATGCCGTACACGCAAGGTGCCGTATGCATCAGAGAATCAACGGGATGCATGGCCCCGACGGGTCTTAGAGAAGAATGGCACACGGAGTGTTTTTCCATTTCCTGTGGGATAAGACCCTCCCATCTATCCTCCATCATCCTCATTCTAGTAATAACACTCAGTATACATACATACATACATACATACATACATACATACATACATACATACATACATACATACATACATACATACATACATACATACACACATATGTATACATGCATACATACCCCACAAGGAGGAAAGTGCTTCGGCGGTAACCGTTCCCGTTTGGGGGTATACGGTCAGGTGCCCCTGGCCAGCGTCAGGCCCCGATCGATATGTAACACATACATACAAACATACACATTGCCTCCCACCTGTCCAGTTTGTCTTCCGGGAGGTCGCTGGAGAAGAACAGCTCTCGGCAGGCAGTACGACTGCTGGCGAAGGTACGGGCGATAAAACCCCTGGGGGCGGGGGGTTTGGGGAGGGGGGGGAGAAAGGAGCGGATCGCAGAAGGGAAGTGGGAGGAGGAAACGGGGGATTCGCAGGCGAGAGAGGCCGATGAGATCGGTATCAAACTCAAACCCTCTACATTTTACCTCCTCTAAAACTTCCACCAACTGTAATCTGCTCCACAAAGCCAATTTCCATGGAGTTCCAACAACCTCTGTTGTTGCTGTTGCGACGTGTTTTTCCCACATCCCACCTTCCTCCTCCTCCTCCTCCCACCCTCCCTCTAGCATTCCGGTACTTTGGACGTCAGCCGCCAGTTGACCCCTCCTCCTCCTTTCTCTCCACCTCCTCCACCTCCTCAGTCTTTTTCGCCTCTTGTTATACCACAGCTACCACTACCAACACCACTTCCGCAACAACAACAACAACTCCTCCTACCCCCACCCCCCCCCACCACAAGCAGCAGCCGCAGCAGTCAACCCCACCAGGTGAGCTTCAGCGACATGATGGGGTCTCTCCTCAGGAAGCGCATCACCATCTGCTTGTTGCCGGAGGGGGGCACGCTGCACAGGAAGGCCGCTCCGGAGAGGGGCGGGAACGACCCGGGGGTAGGCCCAGGCGGCGGCGGCGGCGGCGGGGGGGAGGCGGAGGAGCAGTGGGAGGACGTCGCGGCGCTACCCAGGATGTACCTGCAACAGCCAAAGCCGGGTAAAAGGGTGGGTGGAGAGGAAAGCTTGGTAAGGGAGCAAAAAGGGAGACAGAGTTTGCTTTTGGTTTGTCAGGAATAAAAAACATATTATATATCTTCATTTTAAAGATTTTTTATTAAAAAAGGATTATATATAAATATATTGTCCTGGTTGTTCAGTACTTTGTATTCAGTTTTTAACACATCGCGGCTGCAGGAGGGATCGTGGTTTGAGGGGTTCCAGAGGGGGGCCGGCAGAGGGGACATCCGGAGGGCCGTGGCGGTGGCGGTGGCGGCTGCTGCTGCTGCAGCCGTCCTGCAGCACCTGTGCAGGACGTTGGGAGAGGCCCATGGGAGCGCCCACACGCCCCTCCAGGATGGGGGCACAAGCACCCGGAGTTGTCGTTGGGGTGTATTCATGTACTCATGCGCTTCGAACCCTGGAAGACGTCTTGCAAGCGTGCTAAAAAGGTGCAGCGATTTGGTACCGCAAGTGGCGAACGCGACGATGGGAAGCGGGAATAACGAGGGTGAGCAGGTATGTCGGTAGGTATGTCGGTAGGGGAGTTGTACGCGCATCACGCCACTATCAAGAAATCATCAACTCCGAAGAAACCACCACCAGCAGCAACAGCAGCTCTTACTTTTGGACAATCAGGCCGCCGAAAGAGTGTCCGATGACGACGGGCGCCCTGCCGCCACCTCCAGACGCCGCCGAGTCCTGCTGTACGACAGGAACCAGCGACGCCAGGTCGGCGGCGTGGATGTCCAGGGTTCCCGCCACGGACTGACCGGGCGGCGCTGGATCGCTGCCGCCTTGTGCGCGAAGGCTCACGGCGTAGGTGTCGTACCCGCGGGTCGAGAAGTACGGCATGAAATTCTCCTGGGGGCACGTCACCATTTGAACTCGTCGTACATTCATATCTTACCAGCTCCCCTTCAAGTCCTCATGCCCCTGGTTGACTGCTGCCCCCTCCATCACCTCTCCCCAACCTCACCTGCCAGCACCAAGCTGCATGGTAGGAGCCGTGTACGAACAACAGCGGGGGCTGGCGAGATGGGGAGGAGGAAGAAGATCTGACCTGCGTGTATGCATGTTTGTGTGTTTGGGGGGACGGGTATAAGGCGGAGGTAAAGGTGAGGTAGGGTGGGGTTAAAAAGGCGGTTTTAAGGGTGCAGAACGCATCTTCAAAGGAAAGAAAAGAAAGAAGATGGACAGAAGATGTGTGCCGACTTGATGGAAGAAATGTCGTCAGTTGGGGTAGGAAGGCGCACGAGCTGGAGGGTGAGGAAGGAGACGAGGAAAACTGATCTGGTGAGGTGCAACGGTAACGGTAACGGTAACGGCATCAGGTAGTTGGGAGTGGGGACATCACGTGATGCAGGATCTTATTATTTTAGATTTGGAAAGATTTATATTTCATTTTATCTTTGTTTTAGTCGTGCAGCAGGACAAGATGAAACGAAGCAAAGAGTCAACTGCCAATACCATTGTCCAAAGCACCAACGAGTTGTGGGGGTAGGGGGAATGGAAGGGGGGGGATCGTACAGATTTTGAGGGTGGGAGCTTTGGAAGAAAGTACCGCAATGCTGGTGGGTTGCAAGGGCAGTGGAGGGAGGTTTGCGGGTTAAAGGGTAGAAATGGTGGCGAGAGTGACAAAGAAGGGCAGGACGGGAGGAGGGGGGGTTCGTGTATAGAGGCGCTGCAGGTGAGTTGTTGAGGAATGGTGATTTGCGTGTAGCTCTAGTTAACCCCTCAAAAACTCTGCTATGCTTTTCTCTTATTCCCGTAACATCTTGTGCTTGGCTGCGAATGGGGGATCAGGAACTGTGTGCAGCAATATGCCATACTATTAACGTGTCATGGGGATGTGGGCTGTAGCCTTGGGCACTAATTGCCCGGGTGGATAACCTTTTCGTAAAGCATTACAGAGAGTATTGCGAAGCGTTTTGTCACCCACCACGGCTTTTTGAACCAGCAACTCCAGCTTCTTTCCATCCGGCAGTGTGTGCTTGGTCGTATATGCGGCAGAGGATGGCGGTGCAGCCCCGACAGCCGCCCTAATTGCAACAAAACGCCGATTGTATATAGCGTTGCATCGCGCGTTCTTGCGCGCTGAGAATGCCTTTTCATTTTGGAGTACTTGCATGGCTTCCTTGCACACACTTGCCGCCTGATCACCACCAGTTCCTTGCAGGATACTGTGTTCAACTATATTAGATTACACCACGATGTTTCTGCGCGTCATAGCCTGTACCTCGGGAAACAATGAGTACGGCAACTGGGCGCGAATAGAAAAGCCTTCCAATTGTCATCGCCTTCACATCGTTACAACTTGCAACACCAGGCTAAAGTTGCTGTGAAAATCCTCTCTCTGTGAAAATACTTGGGCGTATCCCGGAACTTTCAAACCGAATTAGTGAAGCCGACCAGATCAACCATGGCCGCTGCGAAGCGTGAGGAATTAGCTGCGATAGTTGCGGATGCGTGCGAAGGTCTCGCAGACTGCGGCTTTCTAGGTCTAATTGAGACTCCCGTGCTGAAAACCTTGACGGACCTTCACAAATTCAACGACACTGAGCGGCTCTCAACACTCATCGCTGCAATGGAGGAAGCTGCCACACGCATGATATCCGCCAAGGCGCCACCTGGCTTTCCTGAGCTCATGGGTGGGTTTAGCGCCTGTCAATAGGAGACGTAAGTTACCGCTTTGTGTTTTAATCACCCATTCTAGCATCCTCCATCTAAGCCTTTAGGCAATTGCAAGCAAACTTGCCTACACTGTGCTGCGCTGTGCCTAAGCAGATCCTGTCATGCCATGTTTAAACCCGGAACCTCGTCGCTGCAGTGGTTTCCCAGCTTTTATTGGACGTGGAGGGCCCAGGAGCACCCCCTGACGGTACAGAGAGCCCATTGGATTCAGACTTTCGGTGGGTTGAGCGCGCGCGCGCGCAGGGAGAACGATTTTGCCAGCGATAAAGACCCGGTATCGCCGGAAACTGTCACAGGGGCTTGTCAAAGCACTATGGATTAACCTATCTGTTGCAACGCTGATAAGCATCAGTAAATGCCTAACATTATCCACACCTCACACAATTTCTTCTTCCCTTCGGACATGACCGCCACCATTCAAGTGGCGGTTTCCTCCTTCCCGCCCTTACCCTACCCTTACCCTTACCCTCACCCACCCTTACGCCTCCATTCCAAAAACCAATGCTGTCGCTTCCTCTATTAAACCGAGTGCCTCCTCCTGCACATCCTCCTGTACGCCGCCCGTTCACCACCACCTGCACATCCTCCCCGGTCCATCATAGGTCTCTTTTAGCCCTTTTTCTTTAAACTTGACTGCTTTTCCACCTTTCCGATGCTTTGTCTTTAACTTTCAACTCCTCCTCCCTCCTTCCCTTCTCCCCTAACTCTTAAATACCCAATCAACAGATCTCTCGGTGCCAACCTGCGACTGGCGCTTTGCGCCTCGCTCATGCAATTTGCGAAGCCCGGTAGTGAGGAAGCGGCGCAGGGTCTGGACATGGCGGTGGGGATGCTACTGATTCTCCATGAGAAGGTGGCGGGGGACACTCTTTCCTGTCTTGCGGTGGAGCATGCCATTCTGCGACTGCTGGGGCGGCGCAAGGCCGTGGTGGCGCTGTTGAGGGACCGGATCTGGGCGTTGACAGCGCTCAACAAGCAGGTAATGGAGTGTCTAATGGGTCTGGTCGTGAGTGAGTCAGGTTGAGGACGCATAATCTGCAGGAGACAATAAAACTACTTTCAGACGTTCAAGACGTTTGCGGTGTGGAAGGAGAGTGCATTTCCGTAGATGGTGTTTGTGTCTGAGTCTGTCTGTCTGCCTGTCTTGACGTGTCGCATGTATACTACTCACGGGTTATTCGTCGTCGCGCTGTTGTCCGGAATGATAGCTGGCAGCTACTTCCCTGTGACAGAAATCCTTTCTGGATGCCATTTGTCCATGTCCATGTGTGTTCCCAAGAAGTGCGTGATGCTATACACCTTTTCGACGATGATGTGGAAAGGAGAAGCAACCGCTTATGGGCTGTATGTGGGTAGAGGGTGGGTGGGGGGGAAAAGACTGCATGGCATTATACCTATCTACTGTGTGTCTGTGTGTTACATTGGGCTCCAGACTCCCGAAGAGTAGAGCCAGCGGGCCAGCTGGCCGTGCACTGCACAGGGGTGGTGTGCCCCAACAGAATCCCGACCTTTCCGTAGAACTCCTATCTACTGTGTGTCTATGTGTGTATTACGACATTATGCATGCGCAGGGGAATGTGAGTCGATTGATGCATGCGGTACGTTGAGGTTCTACAACCTGTATGTATGGCGCGTATGAAAAGGACACGCCCCGGTGTTGATGTGTAGGTCGCGGCGCTTGCGAGCTATAAACCGGAGGCCGGCGGCGGCGAGGCGGCGGATGACGGGGATGACGGAGGAGCTGAGGAAGGTGGGGATGACGAGGAGGTTATGGATGACGACGACGATGATGACGATGATGACGAGGAGGAGATTATGGAAGTGAATGGAGATGAGGAGACTGGCGCCGACGGGCAAGAGCAGCTGGAGGAGGAGGTTGTTGAGGAGGAAGAGGAGGACAAGGACGGGGATGAATAGATGAAAGATATGGTGATGACGGTCCTGGGCTTCGTCTGCCACCCATCCCAGGTGGTTACTTCCTAGAACGCATCTTACTGGCGATTGGACGTGCTGTGCTCGAAAGCCAGGTGGCAGCAAGTCCCAAAAGAAGAAACCGCTGTGAGCAATATTTTTGACGCTCTTTGCGACAGCGAAACCGTTTTTCATTCCGTACAAAAACGGTTTGTTGTACTTGAGGACGTTTTTTAATAATGGTGAAGCGAGGACTGGGAGATGCGGTTAGGCTACTACAAGGTTAGCTATACGGCATAGTCGCTGCCGACCGCCCAAGCGGTTCTCCTCTTGCTTTGGAAATGAAGCGGACAGACTCGTCCCTCTTGGTCTGTGGTTGGTCCGGTATAGAGCCAAATGCTCTCTCTCCGTTTGCCGCTCATGGCTTAGGAAGCGCATAAAAACAGACATATGCTGCTGCTGCCGCTGTTGGGTCGGTGGTTGAATTGATGGAAATTGGGTGGGTGGTGATGCATTATATACATAACATTTGCACGCTCCAATCGGATCACCATGGCCTCGTATCAAGCCCAGATCAGCACGCTCATTACATTGATGTGTCGATGCTCGAATTTCAGACAGGGTTTGATAAACGTTTGGAGGCAGCCTACTTCCAAGGCGAGGGGCTGCATTGGGGTTTTAGGTTTTTTTTGTTGGTTTTGAAGATCACAGGACTTTAGGATGGAGAGTTCCCTTCACGTTGCGGAGCGAGGCGGGCGGCTTCGTGTTGGCCACGTATGAAACTTTGACTTGCATGCTTGCGTTTGGAGGTTTTTGCCCCTTCGCGTTTGTCGGTACGGCATGATGCAAATGTGTGCGGGAATGTACTTTATAGTAACCCTGACCTAAGGAATTTTATGACAGCGCCTACCGCGTGCAATGCAGAAGCCCGTGTTATGAGGATTTTTGGAGCCCGTGTTGTGCTGGCCAAGGTAAATAGGGGGGTCCTTGTGAAGCAGCTGCCCGCGTTTCTAAAGCCCGTATGGTGTTGGATAGTAAGTTGCAGAATGGGGCCAGGCTGGAGAGGCAAGTGCAGTGGCATAATGGAATGTAGATGAGTAGAAGCTGGTTCCAGGGCACTTGGCGCACGGCACAATGTACATGCAGTCATGTCGTCGCACGCGTGTATGCAAGAACAACAGGAACAACAACCAGAAGAACAAGAACAGCACCACAGGAACAGCGCGTGCACAGGCCACGTTGCGTCGGTCCTTCGCTATGATGTAGGAACGAAGAATAAGGCCTAGGTTCAAGTTTCCTGTTGCGCGTGGATGGCCATGCCAGAACAGGCAACATGATGGGTGAACTCGCACGCTACCAACTTGCCCCCGAGCACGCGACGAGCGGACATAGAAAGGAGTGCAGCGGGCCACCCCCTTTCCCCCAACGCTCACGCAATAGACCATCCCAAGCGCTGCTGTCCGTATGGGCCGCAGCCGCCGTTCACACACGAGTTAAGTCCGACATGTATGCACCGTGAATGAAACCCCAAGTGTGATCGTGCCCAAATACAACAGCACTGCCCAATGTCCAGAAGCCTAGCGCCGAAATCGTGGGACCCTGTCCGTCAAGCGTTAGGTGTCCAGTTGCTGTGTGGGCTAGGCGAGCGTGGCTGGGGCGTCATCGTCTTGGACTGTCACGGCGGTGGGCGTGTGGGCGCTGCCGGCACGTTGCCGGCTCATCGCGTAGAAGGCCGGGCTGGCGGAAGGCGGCCCGCGCAGCACATTGTAGCCGCCCGGCCCCCGGGCCTTGAACTGCGCGATGTAGAGGGCCTCCATCTTTTGGGCCAGAGCAGGATTGGCGATGCGCAAAGCGTATGATGGTCGACCCCGCCGGCTAAAGCTACACGTCCCCAACTGAAGATATTCTCGGTGGTTTACCAGCAGGTGTTGTGCTTCTTGCTGTCTGATGTCCTGAACGCTTCCTCTTCCCGCAGCCGTTTCAAGCGCCCAGCCTTGCAAGCTACGTTGTATGCTTTCATATCTTTTCATATCTTATTCAGCTCAGGCTAAGCAGCCAGCCAAAAGTCCGAGATGCATACCGCTTGTGACTGCGGCCAACATGCCCTGATGAGCGGCCTTTCGCCGAAAAAATTACATACACTTTTACAGGCACATTTTGAGAATCGCACGCGCGCATCTGCGCGGTAAAATTCGCTCCTGACTTTTGGGGCGATATGTACGGATGTTTTATTCGGCACAGTACGACCGGACACATTTGTGCGAGGGGCTGCTTAAAAAGGGGAGCAGTGTGAAGATGGGGCTTGGCGTGCGTGTGTGCGCTGGCTCGCATGGACTGGAATTTCAGGCATTGGATTGGTTGCATATGTGGGCTGGGTTTGGTGCTTGTACATGGACGAGCATGCCAAGCGGTACGGCTGGACGCTATTCCATTTCTTGACATTTTAGACACTCGTTTGCATTTGAGCCGGGTTCCGAACAAACCACTACGCAACCAGAGACGCCCTCCTGCACCGCACCGCTATTCCGCTAAAAGGAAGGGGAGACGTATGCGATCAGCCAATAGTGATCAGAATCTATGAGAGAAAAGGAGCAGCGAAAGGGGAATTCATTCGCGGCTAGGACAAGGGCATCACCCTACTATTTTTTCCCCACCAAGGCGGGCCCTGATGCCGAGCTAGCACTGAGGGCTTGGGCTCATCGGCTCGCTTGTTGCACCTTGCATGATCTGATCCGTGCGCTCAGTTGGCCATTTCACAATGTACATTTCACCACCTAACCTCATCACATACATAATAAGCGGAAAGCGGGAACGTGTTTGCTGGCTGGTACGGCTGTTTCCAGTCTATGAGTCATGCACGAAAAGGCGATGGTGGTAGGCCGGTGGCATTACGTATTGCCATGTCGCCATCGGTGACTTTGAAACCATACGTTGAATGCCTGCGAGCTCATCGTGTGCATGTGTAGAGCAGAAAATGTACAGCTCTTTCGTACAGCTTAGAGAACCCGTTGCAAGGAAGTTGTTTTTTCAATTATACAGAATAATTGTTCAGAACGAATGACTGTGTCTCAAATCCCTTACAGCCGTCTGGACAGGGAAAGACTGGAATAAAATCATTTCGCCCGCCGCCCACACAATGCCCGCCCCCAACGCGATTAGTATCAACAAATTTTAACGCGTAAAGGTTTGACAAAATGGCAGAAATTTCACAAATCGACTCGAGCAACACAGTTGGCGATGGCGCCACATGTCCAAGCATTTGGTTGCCGGACATTGTTCAGTGCATCGCTGGCTTCTTAACACCCAACGATGTAGCACTTACGCTTCGACAGGTAGATAAAAGAACAGCACAGCAATTTTCCAGTTGTAAAACTGTAAGGTTGTCGGCGCCATCACCACCTTACGCCTTCAAGCTGCGCTGGAACAACCCGGAAGCCTTTCGCGGGTACACGAGGCCGCAGCGAATCAAGCTCCTTGCCCTCACCGCAGCCACCGGCAGCATCGAAAACCTGGAGGTTGCCCTGAACAATATTGGTCTCAATCCCTCGTACGAGCTGTTCGAAGCAGCTGCAGGCGCTGGCCAGTTGCACGTGTGCAAGTTGTTAAGGCGGCGCAACTGCCCCTGGGGCAATGCCCTGGCTGCAGCAGCAAAAGCCGGGCATCGCCATGTTTGTGAGTGGACGGTGGCCGAGGGGGGCCCTCTGTACATGGAGGCTGTGTGCAGTGCCGCTGTGGGTGGTCACGAAGATATCATGTGCTGGCTGCTGGAGCAGCTCTCACAGAAGCAGCAGCACCGGTCGCAGCAGCAGCACCGGTCGCAGCACCAGCACCAGCAACAGCAACAGCAACAGCAACAGCAACAGCAACAGCAACAGCAACAGCAATGCAGCGATTACGCAGATCTCTTGGCCTCGGCCGCAGAGGGTTTGAACCTAGCCGCCTTGCAGCAACTGCACCACCATCAACGGCTCCCCACACAGCAAGCAGTTGGCACGGCGGGGAAGCCACCGCCACCGCCGCTGGTGCTCAGCCAGGGGCAGAGGGGTGCCGTACTGGCAGCCGCTGCCTGCAGCCTCACTTCCGATTGGGAGGCCAAGGTCAAATGGCTGGAGCAAGAGGGCTACCCCCGTACAGCTGCCGCATGTAAAAGTGCCGTCAGTATTAAAGACAAACACGGTGCGCTGGACCGCCTGAAGTGGCTGTGCAGTCGCGGCTACCCGGTTGACGCATGCGCGTGGGACAGAGCCATGGCTAAGGGAAACACGGCTGCGGTGCGCTTCCTGGTTGTCGAAAAGAACGTGCGGCCAAGTGAAGGTCGTGAAGAGTCCATCATGTGTGCAGCTTACCAGGGCCGTCTATCTGTGCTGCGATACCTTCACGAGAGCCGCTGCAGCCGCCTTTATCCGCAGATGCTATCCAAGTACGCAGCGAACGGGGGCCAGCTGTCTGTGGTGGCCTGGACGGTGGATGAATTGGGTGTAGACCAGGGCAAGGCACCTGACCTGTTGGACCTGGCAGCGGAGAGTGGCAATGTTGAGCTGCTATCGTGGCTTCATGAACGAGGCTGGACCTGGTCACGAGATGTCTGGAGCAGTGCGGCGTTCAGCGGATGCGAGGAGGTGTTGGAGTGGCTGATAGCGCGGGGCTGCCCCTTACCGGTTGGTCCTGCTGCCTGCTTGGGGGTGTTGTGTCGCATGTGTGATGTGCGGATGGTGTGGGGGGGTGGGATGGGGGGGGGTTTTGGGGGGTGTAGGCAAGCAGAAGGGGGGCCAAGTGTGGGTATTTGGGCTCAGGGTTTGCTGCCATCCTTTGCTCGCTTACTTGCGAGAAGCTGCTTCTGCTGGTGCTGCTTCTGCTGCTGCTACTACTGCTGCTGCTACTACTGCTGCTGCTACTACTGCTGCTGCTACTACTGCTACTACTGCTGCTGCTACTACTGCTGCTGCTACTACTGCTGCTGCTGCTGCTACTACTGCTGCTGCTACTACTGCTGCCGCTACTGCTGCTGCTGCTACTACTGCTGCTGCTGTATTGATAAAAGGACACTTGCGCTTTACATGCACCGTACCAGCATATCAGCCGGTTGCCATGAAGCTCCAAGCACAACTACCTATCTTCCATCCATCCATCATCCAAGCACGCATGAATCCCTACATGCATGTTGCCACACCCGCACAGTCGATGCCGTCCTCCCTCTCACACTTCCTTTTGCCATCCATCCATCCTTCCCCCACCAGCGCAACGGCGGTCCAGCGTACCTTAGAGCCGTTCACGTCAATGACCTGGCCATGCTCCGCTGCCTGCGCCGTCTGGGCATCTCCTGGGGCGGTAAGTTGTCGATGGATTGCGCCCCTGACCGAGTGCCAAGTCCCACCTTGCAATGCTTGACGACGGAGCTTCGAATCCCCTTGGAGTGGAAGAAGAAAGAGCCGGCCGCGAGGATAGTGCGATTCTGGTGAAGGGCGCAGTCGGCGCAGACGATATACCCCCCTGGTGGTGGTGTCCGCAGCTCAGCCAGCTGAAGTGGAGAGCTCCAGTGGATACCGAGCCGAGAGGGGGAAGACGCGACGGGGGCCCTGACCTTGATAAGCCCCTGCTCTTGATAAGCTCCTTCTCAGCACGCGCTTGACGCGGTGTTGACGTAACGTCGGTGACTGTCTAGGAGTAGAGTAGTGTTAGTATCTGCAGATGATGTGTATCTGATTGTACGGCATTATCCGTGCCTTTGCTACCGTTGCTACATGTGATGTTTGTTTTAGCGAAGGTTGGACATAAACATGAAGCTGCTCTTTGTCTGCTCTTTGTTTGCGCTACGCGAAAGTCGTCTGTCTGTCTGCTGCTGCTGATGGATGTCGAAAGTAAGGGGACCGACCGAGTTTGTCTGCTCGCTCGCACGCTCGCGCACTCGCTCGTCTGGCTGCTGCTGCTGCTGATGGCCGCTGAATTGAAAAAGGCCTCTCAAGATGCTGACAGAGCGAGCGCGCCTTGGCTCACAACTAAACACGATGTGTGTGTGCCGTACTGTACGACAGCTACCAAACTGACTGTGCGGTTTTTTTACGAGCTTTCTGTTTGCGTGGTTTCGTTGGTGTAGTTAATGCAGTGGATATTATTATTATTATTATCCATACTAAGTTAAAAACACATAATAACAGTTTATTGGTGACCGTATATTAACCTTATATCTTAAGCGGTTTCATTTAGGAGGCGCTCGGGAGGTATGGAACCGGATTCATGGACGCAGAGACGCAGAGACCTGTCTGTCAGAGCAGCTTTTGCTTGCCTTGTACACATGTGTGCGTGTGCGCGCGCACGTGTGTGTGTGTGTGTGTGTGTGTGTGCTTGTGCGCGCGCACGTGTGTGTGTGTGTGTGTTAATCCCTACGTTAGTGAGTGAATGGGACACGCTGGCACTTCCGTACATCCGCAGTTCAAAAAACGGACGACCGTAAGCTGCGTATGTGGTGAACTGGTGCGGTGGCCGGATTGGGTGCGCGGCGGACAGTCACTACAGTCATTACAGACAATCAATACTCCCACAGACCGATAGCAACGAGTGACAGCAATGGAAACAACAACGCCAAAAGCAGCAACAACGACTTCCGTCCCCTCGTACATGACGGCCGGCCTGAGGGTTAATCTGAAACCCCGCGGCCCTTTTATATTATTGATGCAATAGCCTAGTAGTCTTAATAATAAGCCTTCAGCGTAAAAGCTAAACCCTATTACGTGTATTAAAGGGGCTGGGATGGAGATGTTATCCTTTTTTTTCCCTTGGCGGCCTTTGTCTTCACCTCCCTCCCGCCGCCACCGCTCCAGCCCGCGGCCCTGGCACATACTTGCTGCGCTGTGCGTGTGCGTCCTCGCCGTAGCTTCCGTTTTTTACCTCTACTCCAATCATCGATTCCCGCCAAAACAACACACACATACACACATATACACGCATACCCACGTCTCTCCCACAGATTTTACTTTCCCCCTTCAGGTGCCCGAACCGTGGCCGGCATTCCTAAACCCTTTTCTCTCCCTGGCTTGTCAGTCTGTATGTATGCATGCTTGCTGGTCCCACCGCGCCTCTCTCTCTCTCCCCCTCTCTCGTGTAACAAAAACACGCATGGTGTCAGTGAAGCAAGCAAGAGAGCCAGCAAGGCAGCGCGGTAACACGCGGCGCGGTGGGGCGGGAGGGGGAAAGGCTATCAGACTGAATACACAGCGGTATTATCCTCTTGCGGGCTCTAAAGGCCAATGTGGGGAAACAGCCGCCAACCCCCAACCGCCAACCCCCAACCGCCAACCGCCACAGTTCATCTTGTGTGAGTCAGATCAATCAAGAGATTCCAACTCTCCAGGCAGCGGCAGTGCAATCGTACGGAGAGGGCACCAGAGTTACACGACACGTGACAGAAGCAAAGAGTATTTGCTGCCGAGTGGCGGGTAGCAAGTGGGGGTTAGCGGTTGGCGGTTGGCGGGTGTGGCGCTTCGGGTCGAAACCATCATCTCCCTTCCCGATCCCGAGGTCCAGATGTCCAGAGGCGGAACCCTCCCCCCCCCCCTCCCCCCTCCCCCCTCCCTCAGCTGCCCTTCAGTCGCCAGCGACACAGCTGTTGGTCAACCACGTATAGCTGCCACCTGCATGCGCTCATCACATGTAGTGGGTGCAGCAGCAGTAGCAGAAATAGCAGCAGTAGCAGTTGCAGTTGCAGTAGCAGTAGCAGCGCCATGCGCTCGGAAGTATAGGGAAATCTGCTTTGCTGTTGTCAATTTGGTGGTTACAGCTGGCGCGCGTGCACTTCTCCGTTTCTTAACATGACTTCACAGTAACCGATTGATAAAGTAATAGAAAAGGGATTATTGTTTGTGGGGGGTTGGGGAAGAAAGAGAGCGCCATTTTAAGCTTCGTTGCAGGTTTCAAGCTGACCAGATTTTAACGGTAGCAATGCTGGGACGTACGGCAGCATACAGCACATCATCATGTAGTTCTGCAGCCCATCGCTGCTGGAGAGCGAACCGAAGTCCTCACAGCCATCCATCGACCTCGCCCTCATGCCCTCGCACGCATCCATCCCCCCGCGCACGGCACATCCCCTCGAAGTGTCATCTTCTTCCCCCCCATAAACGCACACATGCACACAATAAAACAGGGTTCTAGCCGCCCAACACGACGTCTAACACGTCGCTGGAGACTACGGAGCTCGCTTCGGTATGAAGTTGTACGTGTGTACCACCGATAAGGGGAGCCTTATCGCGACTCCGAAGATAATTAACACACACAAACACACACACACACACACACATACACATTCGCAACCCCACCACCTCCGGTGCTCTGTAGGAGTCGCTCCTCGCCATCCTCCTCCTCCTCCTCCTCCTAAGCCGCCGCTGCCGCCGCCGCCGACAAAAGAGTTACCGCCCACCGAGTACGACCACGACACCGCCGAACACACCTTCATGCCCTGTCCGACATGCACAATGGCGACTTGAGGACGTGAGGACATTTTCGACAACGTCAATTTGGTTCTCGCGCTATTGTTTTGTGTCGTACAGCATGCAACTAACATGCACCAGAGGAGGCGCATCGTCACTCAGGATGTCGGCCATACAACATTACCTGCTCAACATGTACTGCATATATACGGCATTTTTCATAATCCGTACATCCGTACATCCGTACCTCATTTCGGAGGGCTGCCTTCATGGTGGCAGTGTCGCTGACCAGTCGCCCGATCAGCCTGTGTATCATAAGGTAAACATCAATACACAAAATTTACAAAACACAAACGAATCACTTAACACGATGTTGACAAGAACTGTCACTGATCGACCAGAGCACCATCACACCACCCGGCGTGTACACTTCCTTGATCAGATTACCGTTCACAAGACATTCGCGCAGGCAACATTACTAATATCATGAATGGCAATGCGATAATAAAACTAAGACCAGGTTTTTACTGCAAGGCAGTGGATTCATTTTGGCTTCGGGAGTTTGTAGCAGGTTCGCGACCATCAATCTTAAAACCCTAAAACCCTAAAACCCACCTGCGCAACGTGCTGCCTCTCAGTGCCTCCAGCAGCTCCTCCTCCACATCACCCCAAACTGCCGTACTGTAACCCCCAGGGCCCAACATGGCTTCGGAGCAAATGAAGTCGATGCATTCGTTGCAAACCTACGTACCTCACCCCCCACCCACCCCACCCCCCGGGGGTTGCCGGGACAGACAGACAGACAGACAGACAGGCAAGCCTGGGCCGTGCGGAGACAGCGGACAGATGAACCGAATACAGACATAGGCAGACATAGACAGACATACAGACACTGTGCAAGCAGCGGGAAGAAAAGCAAGCATGGGCCCATGGCCGTCAGTGGTTAGGGGAAGGCCCCCCATTCCAACTCCCCCGGGAGAATGCCGGGGCGGCAGAATACCGTGAACGCCGATACAGAGTGATTAGTATTGCCGCTGCTTTGTCTCAAGTGAGTACTGTGCGTCCTTCACCCCAACCCCCCAACCTATCAACCACCGCCAACCACCCCAACCACCCCAACCAACCTAACCATAACCCACCCGTTCCATCCGCAACCTATCCGCCCTCTGGAGCCACTTCCAAACGTAGGCCCGGTCCTCCGGGTCACAGCTAAACGCGGCGCCAGTCGTACTGCCGCCGCCACCGCCGCCACCGTTGCTCAACAGGAACGCCTCGCACAGTAGCAACAATCCGGACATGCCGTACTTGTCCGCCAGCACAATCACGGAGTCGATATTGTCCTGTGTGTGAAGGAGTGGACAGGAGGGGCGCGAGCACAGACGTGATGTCCGTCTCATACATGTTGTACGTGTCGTACCGTCCAACCCTATACACATGCCGTGACATGCATCTCTCTTTAAGGGTGGCAGCCCCCCCCCCCCCCGCACCGGGTGTGGTTCGTCTTTCCCCCCGCACCGGCCACCAGTTGGTGAAGACTCCTCTTCGGCCCGAGCCCCACGAACAACCCAATATCAACAATTGCTTGCGCCGTACCGTGCGCCGTACGCCGTACCGAACTTCCAAGCCGACCCGTACGTCGTACCATCTTCGCAACCGCCGACCTCCTACTCACACACTCACCCATCCAATGGCAGGCCGGGGTAGCCGTGTTGGCGGGTATATCAGCTCCAGCAACCTCACCCAGTCCTCCACGGAATCCGCACCCACCAAAGGAAGACGTAGCAACAGCTGCGGAGGGCTGCTACAGCCGGAGGAAGAATCAAACCGGCCGCCAACTCCTGACCCATGGGACCCAGCGGAGTTGGCAGCAGTAGCAGCAGAAGCTGCAGTGTCAGTCGCAGGCCAAGCCTCTGCGCCGCCGCCGCTGCTGCTGCCGCGGCTACTGCTACTGCTATTGCTATTGCCGCTACTGCCACAGGCAGTTGATTGGAGGAGGTCCCTGACTACGCCAGACCACGCAGTTAGGACCTGGGCAGGGGGAGGAGAGAAGGGGAGAAGGGGCAGAAGGAGGAGGACAAGGACATGGAGGAAAAACATTATCCAGTAAAGAAAACACTACACTCATGAAGCAAAGCAAACCCAAGGAAGACAGCATACCCAAGGAAAACGTGCACTTCATGTCTTCACATTCCCAGAAACCGACGTCAGGAGAGAGGAGGAAGATAAGTCGTACCTGTGAATGGCACGGCAGGCTTCGCCCGTCGGGGAACACGAGAATCGCATCGGCAGTAGCAACATCCAAAAAAGAGCTGACAAGCTGGGCTTCAGTAGCTGTGGCCGTTGTCGTGGCCGCCGCAGCCGTCGCCGTCGCTGTCGCCGCCGCCGCGGCCGCCGCCGCTGTCGCCGCTGACGACGACGACGATGACGCGGCTCCGGCACCGGCACAGGTGGCGGAGGCTGCGGCTCGCATGCGATCTTGCACGGGCAGCCGGAGGTCACCAGGGCCGCCGACGCCGACGCCGATGCTGTCGCTGGCGTCAGTGGCGGCGTGGGGCGCGGAAAGCGGCATAGCGAATGAGTGCAGTCCTGTTCCTGTTTCTGTTGCTGATGATGGTGCTGGTGATGCAGGTGATGCTAGTGGTTTTGGGGATTACTGTGTGCGGCAGCTCCAGCCTCGTTTTCTGGGCGTCTGACTTCTTGAGTCCTAGGTGGGGGTGACGACAACGGCGAGTGAACTTGAACGTCCATAACCTCATTCGTTTGGATTTAAGGAGAGCTAATTATGCGTCATGAAGGCGATGTTGATAATGTTATTAAGTATATTTGGAAACATGGACAGCATCTTAGCGAGTCGTGCAGAGCAGTGCGAAGCAATATTCTTCGGTTGAGTCGAGGCGCGTCGATCGTGCCTTTGGTGCGTCGATGCGAAGCGCTGTGCAGGAGCGCAGAAGCAAGGGCAGGCTGCAGCAATATCTTCAATCAATGCCCAGGGAGGAAAAGGATTTATGCACTTCCTAGGGCAGTGGCCTCATGTCGCTGTCTAATCATCTTACCTAGTTAGTTACTCACCATCTAACATTGAGGCTGTCCGAGGCCGGACAGCGCAAGGCAAGGCAGGTTAACTGATAAACCCAAAAGATTGAAGATATGTGGCTATGTTCTTTGTGTTCGGAAGTTCCACTAGGCGTCGGTGAATGTTTTGAGGATAACGCCGCAAGGTTGGCTGCTAAATGCTAGCCAGTCAAGATATCAGAGGATAATTTAATTATGTAAAACTGTTATTTATAACACCGGCGGATCCTACGCCAACTTCGAGTTCTTCGGCATCGGTAGGCCTGGGCTCTAGGGTTCCGATCGGCGATCACACATCGCATAGTGGGTGCACAACGGACAGAGTCACGTTTTCTGCGTTGATTTTTGATGGATGGTGGGAAAGCCACATTATCGTAGTCGCAACCCACTTGCCACTTGCCACATGCCACACAGACATTTCTATTAGTAACGGAGGTGTTTGATGTCTCTTAGTACAGAAGCTGTCGCCGACAGCTTGAATCAAATATAGAAAATGAAACTCCGATGTCATCTTGTCTTTACAGCACTCTCTTTGTGTTTCCGCAAGCAAATCTACCACAACTTTGTACCAGGGACCACGCGCAGGCCCAACTAAGGCAGCGTCCCAGGCGTTGTCATGAGCTTTCATGAAGCATTTTACTTCTTACACACGTACACAACACCACGTTTGTTTGGTTTGGGAGCTTGTCGGTCGTGATGACTGCGTGAGGCCGTACATTCTGACGCGATCATGATCGTAAGGTCCCCACGTTCTTGGAATTTACTTCTGGATTGTAGAACTATCTTTGGAAACGAAAAGACGTGGGATATGCCATATAGCTGGAAGGATAATCACATTTCCCGCTTTACCGCACGGAATGCCATAAATGCTTTACACATTTCAAATAGTGACATAGAACCTCACCTGAAATAGCATCTAGCAAATAACAATACTGCCGGCAGTATTGACCACACAGGCCATGCAGCCTTGTGGGCTGCTCAAACGAACTAGCTTGTCTCCTACCACCCTTAACATATCAACTGCTTATCCACATCTACATTATGCGAACCGACTGCTGCTTTCAGCTCTGGGACAATGTAAGCATGGCTCTATTGGCACCACCACAGCTAGCCTTACCCAGCGCTTCCGCCTCGCTACAAACCGGTCTCCCAGAGTAGCCACAGCAGCAGCAGCAGCAGCCGCCAGTGCCTTTGCACAGGAGGAGGATGACAGCCCTCTTGCCGCGCTCAAGCGCCGGGTGCAGCAGCTGTCGACGTCACCGTACGACAAGGAGATTTGGGCTGTGGCTCTTCCCGCCCTCGTGGCGATGCTCCTCGAGCCGGTAATGAATGCTCTGAACGCAGGTGGGTGCGGTTGTGTGTGTATGTGTATGTGTGTATGTATATATGTATGTGTGTGTGTTGTGCATTTGACCCGTAATACACAGCGTTATCTAGCCCGGTTTCG